ATTGGCGTCCTTCTGTATGAGAAACCCTACACAAGGTGAAGATCCCTGACACAGTTGTGTCTTTTTTTGCTCTTATAAGATACTGACATTGAGCAAGGCTCTTTACCTCGCCTGAGGCAGACACCCTTCAGCTGTACAGTACAAAGATCAGTTTCAAATAAAATAATAAACAGTTCCCTATACTAACCAACCACCAATAACAAAAACCGTCAGGAACAAGAATCACAGAGTCTCGTCGAAAACAATTAATGAAAGCTTCAGATAATATGTGATGGTGACAGGACAACGATGGTGGTCCTATAGTAGCACCACAAAAGATAGCCATTGCACCAACAGAAACGACTATGACATTCAAGTAGCACTGCAGCAGAGCTTTGTTTTTCACAGGACCTTGTCAGGAGATTGCTAAATCTAAAATAAAAAGGGCATACAGTACAAAATCTTACCTTTGTTAGAATGAATTTGTCTTAATACTGAGTGTAGATTGATGTACAGTAGCTGGAGATTTTCAAGTAGTTGTTACAATTTGTCCCCGTCTATATCTGCAGTCAGCCTGTTTGGGACAATGTGCTGAGAAACAACGCACTATGTGTGAGCAAGCACGGTGACAAGTGAAAAAAATCGAACTAGCAAAGAAAACTGACTTTAGCAACCGAACAAAATGACTGTGCAAAAAGTCGGGCTGCGCTTTGGATTGCACGATGACAGACTTAAAAACTACATCAAACTTACATCTGCTCTCTCTCCCACGCGTTTTGAAACACAACTCAGTGCAATTATACACCACTGTTTCAAAGAAAGCAACATATAAAACAGGCAACCTCGCTAAACTCTCTGACAATGAATGTTCTGATTGTGCGTAGCTTTAAGTGAACAAAAGGAGCAGGATTGGGGTACACTATTCGTCCTAAGTGCTTGTGTAAAAAGGCTATGCTTTGGGACTCTCACATTCAATATTGCATGACTGCTGTTTACACTTAAGGTTCCATTTTGCATTATGGTATAGGAAGCCCTGCATTGAAGCTTGCAGCTCTGCAGCAAGTTTGCAATGACCTCGCTGAGGTAGAGACCCTGAAAGGATGCATGGTGCACAAAGAAAAAAAAACAACAGACATGAATAAAAGATGTTGAAAACCGATGGATATTCCCTTTTGACTTGAATTGGTAAACATGCAGAGTACAATACATTGCTGCTTAAGGGCATAATTAAGTGCATGAAAACTGGGTTGTGCATGACAGCCATGGATCATCTATTTTTTACTTTTTTGACCACAATCAGCTTCTATTTCAACCTTGCTTATCTGGCATCATTAACATTCTAACCAACAGTGTTTCCACACTTAAACAGAAGGTGAACCAGCTCCGCTCAACCTCACAAATACCATTGTACACAGAGGCACTTTCACTGGTCCTGTTGGTGAAAGGGATAAAGGCACTAGCAACTAATGTCAGAAGAATTCTCCATGATATGAAGTTGAATGTGGTGATGATCTTTTTTGAGTGGATTCCAAACAAAATTACACTAAAATTTGAAATGGAGATGGAAGCATGACTAATAATTTTCTTCTTCGTAGAAGGTCCATGCACTGCACTATTGATGTAATACTGTAATCGGTGCTTATTTATGATTATATGCATTTTTGATAATATTTATTCCATTTCTTTGTCTACTTTTAAAATTAGAAACTCTGCATCCTCAGGGTGGGTTCGGATATATTTGATCGCAATTCAGAAACATCCAGAATTTGATTTCCGTAGTTTCCCTGACAATAGGGCACTGCCGAGTGCCTGAATTGCAACAAGCTGTATACTCATGTCATGCATTAAATATACCAGGATACAAAAGTACCTTAGTCAATAGACCATAATGCAGGTTACTTTTTTCATGCTATGATCTCATTTTATGTACTGTTCCCTTAAGATTTAACATTCAGTTTCTATACTTCTAAATGAGTAGCATTTCAAATGAAAAACTCATCCAGTGCACTCGGTATGAAAACAGATGAGAAGGGGAGGTGGATGGAGGCAGGTTATCCAAAAGAACATCCTTTCCATTACGTGAGATATGTCACATGCATGCCGATATCAAAATGGAAAGTCTCTAATCATGCTTGTGTGAAGCTCACTTTATCATTGTGCTGTGTTGCATCTAAAGGGCATGGCATTGAATCACTTGGTGATATCACATTTACAGCCACTGCTGGAAAACAGCAGCATTGCGGATGTCCATGAAGCGAGTAGATCACCATCTGTTTACATCCAAACAAGAAGAGATCAGTCTTCCTCCTATAAGGTGCTTTGCTGAATAGTAGATCCAGTGTAGGAAGAGAGGAGAGAGGAGGGTGTGTGTGGAGAGGAAAGGGGGGGGTCACCTAACTTCTTGGCGCTTACCACTTGACTGCAGATGCTTGCATGTCTCTGCAGACGTTTCTGGTGCATTGTGCAACTTGCTGTAATGTTATCTGTACTCCATGCATAAGATTTTAATTGTCACGCCGTCGTCTCATAAGACAGTGTGTGCTCTGCATCCTCCAGGGAGCCGTGTATATGCGCAGTAATCGATGGTTTCTTTTTGATATACCTATATATTTGTAGGATCAGAAGAATTAATTATTCTAACAACCTGTCATACACTCTAACAGCTTTGTTTTTTCTGTTTCCTTTCTATTTAGCTGAGCATAGTTGTAGGCCTAATGCCATAGAGCGCTTTGAGGAGGTAAATGAAGCATTCTTAACTGATGGTCTACTCCACAGTCCAATAGAGATCCCAAAGTTTCTAACTAGTGTCTAAACATCTGTAAGCAGCTTGCTTTTATTTACACAGTTTTGGTTGGCTATAGTGCAATTGCCAGTTCTGAGATTTGCCTCCCTAAAGTTGTCGATGCTATTGTTTATGTCTCCATCAATCTCCATGTACTCCGACTTGCTGACTGTGGATGAACTGCGGCGACTGGAATTGGTTTCGGAGGGGATGTTGGGATTGCTTACATTGAGCAGCTGGGCCTGCTCCTCTCCTTCTGTCTCCCTGTGGTAGAAGTAGTTGAAGTTGGACACAATGACAGGCACTGGGAGTGCGATCGTCAACACTCCAGCGATGGCGCACAGAGATCCTACAATCTTGCCTCCTATAGTAACCGGGACCATGTCCCCATAGCCCACAGTTGTCATAGACACAACGGCCCACCAAAATGCATCCGGAATGCTGCCAAAGTGGGATCCTTGCTCCTCTGCCTCTGCAAAGTAGACAGCGCTGGAGAACAAGATGACTCCAATGAACAGAAAGAAGATCAGCAATCCCAGCTCTCGCATGCTGGCCTTGAGGGTCTGCCCCAAAATCTGAAGTCCTTTGGAGTGTCGTGACAGCTTGAAGATCCTGAACACCCTGACCAGACGAATCACCCTGAGTATGGCCAGAGACGTTGCCTGCTCCCCCACCCCCTCGTTGTCGGGATCCTCAGCCAGCTCAGTCCCAAGTGTGATGAAGTAAGGGATGATAGCCACAATGTCGATCATGTTCATCATGTTCTTGAAGAAGGCCGGTTTACTTGGGCACGCCAGAAAGCGTACTATCAACTCAAAGGAGAACCAGATTATACAGAGTGTCTCAATGACAAAGAAGGGGTCAGTAAGGATATTTGGCTTGTAATAAATAGTAGTGTTCCCCACTATTCGAATTGTTGCGTCCTCTTTCAGCTGTGGTAAAGTCTCTAAACAAAATATGACTATTGAAATCAGGATCACCATCACAGACACAATGGCGATCCCTCTGGCGGGGCCCGAGCTTTCTGGATGCTCAAAGAGGAGCCAGACCTGACGCTGGAACTCCCTATCAGGCAAAGGGCGCGCTTCCTCCCTGATGAAACCCTCATCCTCACGAAACCTCTCCATCGCGTCCACTCCCAGCTCGTAAAACTTGATTTCCTCTGAGAACATATCCAAAGGGACGTTCACTGGTCTTCTCAGCCGACCGCCTGACTGGTAGTAGTAGAGGATGGCATCAAAGCTGGGGCGGTTTCTGTCAAAGAAGTATTCATTTCTCAGAGGGTCAAAGTACCGCATCCGCTTTTTGGGGTTGCCTAGCAACGTCTCTGGAAACTGGGAGAGAGTTTTCAACTGTGTCTCAAACCGGAGACCCGCTATGTTGATCACCACCCTCTCGCAGCATTCGTGGTCATTATGGTCTGGGGGGTAGGTGTCCTGAGGATGACCAGGGACAGCCGAGGTCTCGTCCATGTTATCTCCTGCTACGACGGTCATTTTGGTAGGAGGAGGAGGTGGAAGACAAGGAGGAGGAGGAGGAGTTGTGTTGGGTTTCGGTTAGTCTGACTGAGCAGGCATTCAGGATCAGGGGGAAAATTTCCACTCCTCAGCTTCCCACACCCCTTAAATTGTTGGAGACGTCCCCAGGTACAAGGGGGTTGGTTGGCTGCTCTGCCTCAGTGCGGCTCCACTGCGGTTCTCGCTGACTTGACCATTGCTGCTCTCCAGTGCATCTGCTGCTGTTGTTACTGCTGCCTCTGTCACCCAGAGAGAGAGAGAGAGAGGGAGGGAGAGGGAGGAAATAATGGGATCAAACTGCCAAGATATTTGCTGGCTCAGCATTTTCTGCAGTTTATTTATTTATTCGTTTACTTCTCTCAGCCTACATTTAGTGCAACTACCCGATAGTGTATGTAAAAAATACTATTCCGAGGATTCAAATTGTCATATTTCTACAAAATCTGTATTTACAATCTTTCAGTTAAGAGTTCATGAATGTTTTGATCTTTATTGTGTTTTCCACATTACCTTTAAATTCCTATTAGTAACTCAATTGCTGTTTCATTCTCTGCTACATTCCTATGACATTTCTGTTAACTTAAGTTTGTCATATGTGTTTGTGTCTCAAAGGAACATAGCAGTGATTTATCCTATGCCACTCTCTCCGGTCTGACGCATAATATACTGACATTATAGCAACTGAGGTTTCTATATGCGCAAAGCCTTTAGGCCTAATGCAGTATAAAATACTGCAAATAAAATCTTACTCTTAAGAAAGAGGGAGAACAATACAATAGTAGTAAATCATCTTGAACAGCGGCTGTTGACATAAACAATCCATGATGGCTATATTGTGCTAGTCAGCAGTTCTTACCGTAATCTTGAAAGGTCTTGAATGCGTTTTATCCTCGGGTAATATCATCCAACAGCAGGACACCAGTGGGTATCATGTGGCAACTTCACATTGCACCTTCCCGAGGAGAAAAGCCTAGAGCCTCACTATGGTCATCATCACCATCCCGTGTCCCGTCAAAGTGCCCTCATAGGTCTAAACGTCTGATGAGAAATCAGGCAGCTCTGTAATGAGGGAAGCCTGAGATGGAAATGCTGCGAGAAGAGAAGGGTTGCAAAGCTGCAGCAGCGTCCGTACAGTTGCTCGCTTGGCGGCACGGTGGTGTGAGCAGCTTTACAGTAGAGGCTGTACCGCAGGAGAAAATCTTGCGCAGCAGTTCGGGGGGAGAGATACATTATGGGGCAACAAGCGAGCCCTTGACATTTCCAGACATCACTGCATCAGCAGAAATCTGCTGCCTCCTGCGAGTATGGACACGATGACGAGCTGGAGTGTGTTTCTCGGAGAGCGGAATTTTACGCTCCCCCCCCCCCCCAAAAAAAAAAAAAACGAGAGTGGAGAGACGAGTCAAGTGCAGCAGCAGCGAGGTCCAAATGTTTACTTGACAATGTCAAACATGTTGTGATGTGCATTTTACATGCAAGTGCATGGGAGGTGAGGGAAAAAGAGAGGAGAGGAGGAGAGGGGAGGGCAGCAGCAGCAGCAGCAGGAGGAGGAGGAGGAGTTGGAGGGTTTCGACGCAATGCAGACCGGCTCTACTAAAGCACGCCGACTCAACTTCTCCACACACACCACAAAAACAAGAGCGCCCGCGCAGTGCCAGCTCTGGCGCAATGGACCGCAAAGAGGGACAGGAGCTCTGAATCATTCACTGTGCAACATCTGAGACCATCTGCCAATTACAGACCAGTCTGTTGTCGATCAATGAGGGAAGAAATGATCACCTTGTCATCATATCACTCCTGGATGACCGTTGGATGTGTCAAGGACTGTTGTGCGCTAAAGTGATTTAGTATATTTTATTATGCCGATGAGCAGTAAATCAAAGGGTAACAAGCTTGTGCTCAAGTGCCTTTAGAGAACTGAACCAAGTGCAATACAATCGTAACTGTGCAATATCATCATGTGCAATGTTATTATGTGCAATTTAACTGAGCACACAAACCCATATGTGTTAATATACTACATTTCATACTATGAATTCTTTATGAATCTATTTAATACACAATAATGTGTCTATACTTGTCTCTGAGTTATGTTATACCATTTGTACAACTGGGATACTTAATTGTACTCCATGCAACGACAATGGGTTTAAAATGGTCCACGTTGCGTCTGCAGGTCAGCTTGTCTGTGCAGGTCTGTGCTCATGTCCAGGATCTTTATACTTTATGATGCTGACTAAGTAATCACATCCTCTCAGCCATTAACCTGCTACATTTGGCCCCAGAAGACACATTTTGCAAGGAATGTGACAAATACTGATGTTTATGTTTTTGACTTAAAGCCATGAAGCCATAGGAAACGAGTGAAAATAGATTAAGTCACATAAATGGTGGTTTAGAATGTACTTTCTCAGGCCATGGATACAAACCACAATATTAAACCCTGTCACCTGTTCTAATACTGTGAGTTGGAATTTACTAGATGATCCTCTGCAGAGGCCGGATCACTTTCAGCACCACGGACAGCGCAGATTATTGGTTCGCCTCAGGAAACCACAATTGGGTAAAACTTGAGAACATACTCACATTACAACAGTCAAAATAAAATCATGGCAGTGTTTGGTTTGTCAGGGCCTTATGACACTGAGCTGAACTAACTCAGAACAAATGTCTGACTTACTAAAAAAAGACCTTTCAGATCAAATCAGGTGATCAGACCTCTATCTTATTGGTTGAAATGTGCCTCCTCCATTCATCACAATGACATTTTATTAACCTAATTGCTTTTGTGGCAAGACAACCCTTCCTCTGACACCAATGAGCACCAACAGAGGTATAGAGCAGTGAATTGAACTAATCACTGTGCATGGATTTGAAGTTCTAACATCAATGACTTGCTGTTTCTGAATCCGTTTTATTGCGATCATGAAAAAATAACGAGGGGTATGTTCTCTGATCCATAATTTATTTATAAAAAGAATTAAGTTAAGTTCACATACATCTTTAAATTAGAAAAATAAATATTTTATTACATCTAAAATTCACAATGCATGTACGTCATGCAGACATTGCACTATAATGCTCTTGTTGTTTACAGCGGGCTGCAATGTAAGCTGAATGATTGTAACAACACAGAAGCAAGTTGCGGTTCCAACTTTGCATTGTAAGCTGCATAAGAAAAGAGGAAGTTCAGAAGTTTTACAAAACAACATTATGTACACAATTTACAGCTACAAAAAGAGCGTGGTCATTTATAAAGCCTACACAAAAGAATGTATTTTTTTCTATGGCTAATACACAAAATGTCCACTGCGGCAGACTAAACTTTCCCCAAGCGTTTCCACCATGAGGTCTCTGTAGGCTACATCACTGGCAATGCAAGAATAATCCATGAGAAAATGATCCAGTATTTTGGAGGAGAAAAGAATGCCCCACTAGTATTTTAAGCGAACAACGAGCTTCACTTAATCGTCTCTTGCCTCCTGTAAGCAGAAAACAAAACTCACTATGTTGGCATTGGGAGGTGAGAGAAAGCAATCAGGTATCTGAGCTTAGATCACCATCACAAGCATCTGAATACATACTGTGTCAAAGAGCATGGCCTCAGGAGGCTTAAGCCAAATTCCGAACAGGCAAGCTGCAACAGAGCAAAGATATTCAAGCCTATGTCTTAATTTTGCACTCTGAGGTTCCTGAGCTGTCTGCAGGGATGTGTTTCATCCACAGAGTGGCGCTCAGAGCTCATTTATTTTGACCACTGGCTACACATTACAAGCTCCAAGAAAAAAAAAATTGGGCTGCAGATGATGTAGTATTTTTAGACATGTGAGACTTGTTATTTTTAGAGGAAATCGATCATGTAATAACGAGATATTTGTCTTTTTATTATGGGACATTGGTGTCGTCATGAAAAACAGACCTTAAACCTGAACACAGTATCCTGAGTGTTAGAGCCTTGGTTAAGGCAACAATCTGCAAGTTGAACAGATGCAAACAACCTAATATAAGAAGGTTTCTATCAGAAATCTAAGCGGTTTTACTCATTTGACCGCCTCATACTTAAGTGCAAAGTAGGTTTTCATAGTTCCCATTATGTCGGGACGCCATGCTGCGTAATAGCAGAAGCTACTTGTGTTTATGTACAATGACACGTTGGGCACGAATATATCGGAGGCTTGAACGCAGCTGGACAAGAGTGTTGAACAAGTGCCAGTGTGCTCGTGCACATAGCAGCAGCCAACTATCCACAGTGCGCACGGCTCAAACCCCGACACACTCTGACATGTGGCCAACATGAACCCAAACTCTGTGGTGAAGTATTCTTTTTTCGGTTAATGGACATGTGTCTTAGTTCGCCATGTGCTCCAGTGTGGAGAGATGGATGCCTTGTGCGTCATTGGCACGTTTACGCACGCCTGATCTGCCCTCTCCGACTCTTTTCAATACTCTGGGATTATTAGAAAATAGATAATGCTATTTTCTCAACAATATATGAATAAATTGTAGCTCATATTGAAATGTCTTTATGGGTAAACAAATAACAAAACACCTGCCCCTGTCACGTATGGAGCCGTGTGTTTTCTCGGATGGCTCTATGTTACTGCTGCAGACCCAGTTCAAATAATCCATGTGTTTAATTGCGTGTCTCATGAGTTCCCACATGTTTTTATTTAAGGTTTCCCGAGTACAATATTAAAGTCCACAGCTTCTCTCTGCATGTTTCCAATAGTCTCTCCAATATGAGAAAATGTGAGAAGTGGAGGAATGATTTTCTCATTTGGTGAATTAAGATAACGTGAATTCCTGATGTTGGTGGTATTTGCAAAAACTAATATCTGAGGCTCCACGTTTGGAGACCACTGTAGACAGCATGCGTAAAAGCACCTGCAGCATCCGCCGTGGAGAAGCATTGACTGCGTGTCCACTGGAAGATAACTCACCAGGAAAAAAAACACATCTTCTTTATACATCTGTCAGTTTCCCTGTGTATGTCTCAAGTGGATTTATCTTTGGATATTTCGGAGGGTCCAGGTCGTCGCTCTCCTGAAAGGACTCAGGTTTGGAGAGCGACTGCATACTTTTGTTTGAATCACACTCAACAAATGAGGGCTGTTGCTGTTGCCCACAGGTCACGTGCACGTACTGAGTGTTTTCCTCCTCCTCGTTTTCTCTGTGATAGAAATAATTGAAATTGGACACTATGACTGGGACGGGTAAAGCTATAGTGAGTACTCCAGCGATTGCGCACAAAGATCCAACGAATTTCCCCCAAATGGTGGAGGGACACATGTCTCCATAACCAACCGTGGTCATTGTCACCACAGCCCACCAGAACGCATCAGGTATACTGGAAAATCCAGAATCGGGGTCTTCTGCCTCTGCAAAATAAACTGAACTGGAGAATAAGACCACACCGATGAGAAGGAAGAATATGAGCAGCCCCAGCTCCCTGAGGCTGGCGTGGAGCGTCTGGCCGAGGATCTGGAGGCCCTTGGAGTGCCGGGAGAGTTTAAAAATCCTGAAAACACGGACCAGACGGATGACCCTTAGTATGGCCAGGGACGCGGCCTGTTGACTGCTGCCCTGATGCTCTGCGAGATCCAGGCCCAGGGTGATGAAGTACGGAGCTATGGCCACGACATCGATGAGGTTCATGAGGTTTTTAAAGAAAGCTGCTTTGCTGGGACACGAGAGGAACCTCATGGTGAATTCAAAAGAGAACCACACGATGCAAAGTGTCTCAACCATGAAAAAGGGGTCTGTGAATGGGCTGGTCGCTTTACCCTGTGCGCTTACATTCACCGTGTTGCTGTTGTCCGTCTGCGGAGGGACGTCTCTGAACTCGGGTAGTGTCTCCAAGCAGAATATAACAATGGATATTAAAATAACCATAACTGACACGATAGCAATTATCCGTGCAGGTCCTGAACTCTCCGGATACTCGAAGAGGAGCCACAACTGGCGCTGGAACTCGTTGTTGGGCAGCGTCTGGTCCTCCTCCCTCGCCAAGCCCTCGTCCTCTCGGAAAAGGTCCACGGCCTCTTCCTCGAGTTCATAAAACTTGATTTCCTCCAGGAAAATGTCCACAGGTACGCTCACGGGCCTCCGCAGCCGCCCACCCGACTGGTAATAATAAAGGATGGCGTCGAAGCTCGGCCTGTTCCTGTCAAAGAAGTACTCGTTTCTCAGCGGGTCGAAGAAGCGCATCCTCTTGCGCGGGTCTCCCAGGAGCGTGGCCGGGAAGCGGGAGAGGGTCTTTAGCTGCGTCTCGAAGCGCAGACCTGAGATGTTGATGAACACCCTCTCGCTGCACTCCTGGTCCGCCGGCTCCAAGTCGGCAGCATCTTGCAACAAAGGAGTAACGACCACAGTCTCGTCGTGGTTCTCCTGGGACACCACAGTCATCTTTTTACCCCTCCGAGGGTAAACCCGCCACTCACCTCCTCGGTGTCTCCCTCTTGCCCTTTAGCCCGTGCGTCCTCACGTCTCTCTTTCTCATGCAGCCGCCCCAGATTCAGTTTTTTTTTTTTTTTTTTGCTCCTCAGAGTCTGTCGATAATCCAAAATTGTTGCTCCGTTGTTGATTTACACCGTCCTTTTGTCAGATTAGTGCCTCTGAACTGTCAACTTTCAATGGTGCAGACAGATCTCCACTTGCATAAGCAATACCGATGGCTGGAGATGGCTATCATATTCACACCATTTTAAACTCCAGAGCCCTCCCCAAGTTGGAAGACCAGATGACACTTGCTGCTGCTGCTGTCCCTCTCACACTCACTCACTGTTGCACTGCAGTGATTTCCAAGTAAACATGTCACCTTACAAGTCTGTTATTTTAAATCAAACTTAAGTTATTAATACTTAAAATATAATATGCTTTCAAAAAGTCCTTAATCCTTGTTTTGTCCAGGGAGAGTTCAAATATGTTTTCAGATCCAGTGTCTGCTCAGAAATGAAGTGTCTTACCCTGCAGGTCCCTCATTCATGAAATCATGGGGCTATTCTCGTCACAAGGGGAACCTCCTCGCCCGGGTCTACTTTGGGTCACAGCCCACAGTTTTAGAAACAGCACAAGAGAAAAGGACAAACAGATTGAGCTTGTTCAGCATATATTTTGGTTCTTTTCCTGCGTATCAAATGTATCTTGATATAAATAAGATGAAATGACTTTAGTGCTCTGAGGCTCAGAGCAGCGTGTCACCAGGGGCCCTCCTGGACCTGGCCAGTGGAAACTGCTGGTTTGACTGACACTTGAGTAGCCAGAGAGGATGGTGTCTTCAGGAAGCCTCAGCCAAAATAACATTCACTGTTCATCGCACTTAAAGGGATCAATTGTACAACTTGGAACACGTGGACCCCCATAAGACAAGTGACCTAGCTTTGGGGTCACAGAGGTGTAAAAAAAAAAAAAAAAACAGCTGCAAGTACTTGTAGTCGTATATTCAGACTTCAAGTGTCAACTTTTCGTCACATTAGAGTTTAATTCTTCTTCTTCTCTTAAAGATTAAATGCTAAGATGTTTAAATGATGTGGCCCCAATGTGCAGGGTCAAGTTATATGTGTGCCGCAGCATTGTGGTCTTTTTATAGGCCAGTTTTTTCCACTTTCGTTGCCTTCATAAAGCTGTAGGCTATCACTTATGTCAGTCACGTCAGTTGTAGACACAGGAGAACAACAATAATAGCACAGGGGTGCTAATCAGTGTTACTAAAACCAACTTGGACGGTTTGCGTTATTACACAAACAAGGGCGATCATTGGTGAGAAGAACCTGCCATCACAAACTTTCGAACAAGCACTGGGTCTCAGAGGAGCACATTTTTATGGTCTTTCCATTACTGAACAAAGGGTTGGATTTCAGAGTCAAGTGTCAGTGTCAGGACACGGTGCCACCTGCTGCTAATTTTTTAGCATATAGCAAATGACTGTCTGGGTCAAACCAAGGTGTCAGGCCTTGACTGTAACCAAGGAAACAAACAATAATAAACAAGCTGTGGAATGGACATGTGACTCTCATACATCAGTCAAAGTTAAAGAAAGGAATATAACATGGCATGATCTACATTAGCCTCCCTCTGTCACCTCTAGTTATTATCTATCTTAAATTCAGTAGTATTTTAATCTCATCGTTGTATTTACAACAGCATTATTTCAGCACAATATTCACATCATCTCATTTGATTATTTAACAGAATTGCAATATTTACTATTTTGAATACTCTGCTGCCAAGTGCACGTTTCCACCATCTCTCCATTTCTCTTGAGATGTACAGTACATGCACACCTAAACAGTGACCGCATGTACCGAGACGTAGCCTGGGAGACACATGCCATAAAAGCCTGCAGGGTGCATGAATGCTGACAGCGAGGAACCTCCCATCGTTATTAATGGCTCGACCTATGAATGCAGGAGACCCCCATGGTAACAAGACCCCGTGCGTTCACTCACAGCTAGGAAACGTCTGCTTTCTCATCATTCTTCAGAACGAGAGAAATGCTGTCATCTCAACTGACACTGATTTAATATCTGATTTAATCTTGGTTTCATCTGCAGAACTTTTTAATGTGTGATTAATAATGTTATTTTTATATTTTCATATGTTTGCCTTTACTTGATTGCTCTGTTTTTACTTATGTAGTGTCCTTGAGTATTTTTAAAAGCTCGATATACTTAAATTATATTATTATCATTATCTTCGTTTATTGTTATTCATTGCGTTATTTTAACAATAAACTCTCCCCTCAGTTAAGACGTCTCTGTCACAGTAGCATGATGAAATCAATAACATAACTATTTATAACATGCCAATTGTTCTAATAATAAACAGTTATCACAGTGCTTAGATATTCATAAACACATAAACTCTATATCTTTAAAACCAGCCAATGTTTATTAATTTTTATCATGGAAAAATTGCCATTATATCTACAAAATACTAAGTTATATTATAAAAATAGAAATAATCCTAATAATAAATAATTATCCCAATGTTGTGATATCCATAATGACAATAACCTTAACCCTAACCCTATTTTATGATGAAAGACATCCATTGACTGTATGATATACTGGTTAATAACTCATAATATTAATAAAATAATTTGTTTAAATATATTCTAATAATTCTAAATTCTAATCATTATCCTAATTAGATATTTTGAAACACATTAACTATATTTGTTAAGAAGCAGCCTAAGTGTATGAACATTTTCATTAACTGCACTTCATCCTCTCAAGCTTATCTTTGTCTAAATATAAACAGGATGAGGTTCCCTCCCAACCCATTACAGACGTGAGGTAATCACACGACCAACTTGTGTCGGCGTCTCCCTTTGGCTTTCACCTCCTCCAGATCCCCAGGCCAAGTATTTACAAAGTGTGTGTGTATAACTGCAAGTGTGTATCCGGCATTGTTATTAGTGTGATTGGTGAATGAATGCATGTGCATATCAGGTTTGTGTAAAGAGTGTGTTATAAGTTGAGACAGGTTGGTTTTTTTTTAAAGGTCAGTCACACTAGTCAACAGCTTCTTCAGATCACATCATTCTAGTGCCAACTACTTTGCTCGAAATGAAATAGGGGGTAAGTGACCCAGTCTGAGGTGCACTCCGGTGATGACAGCGTGTCAGACACTGGAGTCTATTGAGATTAAGTTAAATCTGGCAGGTCTCTGATTCAAGATGCTTCACATAGATTTTCAAAATGCAACATTTTCATGAACAATCACTTAAAATAAGTCAAATAACATTTTTACCAAAAGCCAGAGTTCGGTTTGATCGATTGGCCAAGAATAGACAGGATTAGTTAATTGATTACAATTGATGATAATGATGTGTATATTTGACAGTTTGAAAGCTGCATTAATTATTTAAACTGATAGTCATTTTCTTTTCTAAGTGTGTAGCCTACATCAACAAATGTTTTTAAATGAGTCCTTATATTTGGTAGATTTGTCTTTATACCTTGACACGTACATTTTTGAGCCTTGCCAGAGATGTGTGTATATATGTGTTTTCTGTATTGCAGCTTTATTAACTGACTGATAAATTCAATAATACAAATATGTTTGCAATAAGCTAAGCTTATATCACCTTTGGTAGAGTCCAGCTTAACTGAATACCTAGATGTGTTTTGACCTCAAATGATCGATACCGAAGATCTTTGCTCACAGTGATGGTGAGTCAGTGAAACAGTGACAAAGTCTGTAGATCACAGTTTACCTTGTAGTCTCGGTGAGGAGTGTGTGCAGCTGCAACTAATTAATAGTGTGAAAGTTTTGTCCTAATGGAGTTTAAGCTGTGTTTATGCCGTCCCCCGCTGCCCGCTCTGCACACGGTCTCCTCACCCAGAGGTGTCTGAACTCAGGGCTTCCACTCTTGAAAGCAGACACTTCCCGGGTTTTGATAGCCACCAATTTTAGCCCGCTGTCATCTTAACTTGAAGTTCATGCTCTTGCTGATAGGTAACAAGGCATGCAGCAAGAGATGAAACTGGATACCTCTGATCCGGAGGGCAGGGTTCCTTGGAATTACCTCCCATCCCACTCCTCCCTCGGATTATCATTTCACCCCTTGATCAAGCCTTTCCCTTTTTTAGTAGACTGCGTCGTCCGCCATCCAGGCCAGGGGCAGTTGCAGGGGGATCAGTTCACAGAGGAGCCACACGTGGGTTATAAATCAAGGATTACTTCAAAGGTCTCAAAGTTTCATTTTGTCAATAACGTTGTTCATGTGATTCAATGACGTGCGGGTGACTTTTACAGATTGGCAGGCAGAGCCGGAGAACCAACCCCCTGTGTAAAAATGAATATCAACTGATCTTCATAGTCAAGTGCAGTTTGACAAGCACACGTTTCTATACCTACAGCTGATCAGCAGTTAAATCACAGGATTGTCCACCACGCACATGTGCAAACGTCTAAAAAGCCACGCCCACAAAAATGGCAGGAATGTTAGCTGGTAGTCAACCTAGCTTCCAGAGATAGTAGTCTACCTTTGCCACAAGGGGGCACTACATTTAAAGATGAATGCAAATATCAGCAACAACAAATCTTTTATTGGACAGAACCATAGATTGTGTACAGAAACAGATGTTAAGAGAGATATCTCTTCCTCTCAGGTGGAACCTGTCAAACACTTAATGCTGTATTGTTTTGACATCAGGCCACTGACTGTGTTGGCGTTTGGTTGAACAGACACCACCACCATCACAACTGAGTTTCTGTTGACTTCTATCAGAATCAAGCTAATGTGTGTGGGTTGATTCCACCTGTTATTCAAAAGAAAAATAATAGCATATTCCAGGGGTTAACTCTCCACACTGAGATTTTCATCCATTTCAGCAGTTACTGTAAGAAATGGAAACCGTTGCAATTTTAACAAAGTTACGACTCAATTACATGTCTGTTATGGTGTTAACAAGAAAAGGTAATGTTGATTTGACCTGCCTCTCATTTGAGTTTCTCTTTCCTAGGCCAGATTTTGCTGCTATAGGCCAAAGTAACCACCCACTATTTATAAGCACTCTTGATGTCTAAGAACAGTTCAACTTACAATCTGGTCACCAGCTTGATGTCATATATATATATATATATATATATATATGCAATTCGACTTTGCTGGACTGAAAAAATCCCTGTTCAACAAC